ATTGGACCGAGTGGAGGAGCCGTGAAGATGATAAGGGGGAGATTAAAGCGGTTTGCGGGGCCACATATATGATGTGGCGCTAGTGGGAGCTGTTGGAAGTCTACTACACGCACACCAGCAGAGGGCCAACGGCCTTGACCTCTTCTCTCCGTCAGTTCAGCAGGCTCGTGCACTTCGTGGGCACGTCCACCTCGCATGCACGGCATGCTCGGCCACGGCCTTGTACACGTTCTCTCCCTCACCCCCTTGTACCTCTGCATGTATAAATACCCCTGTGATATGTGAATACAAGCGTGCGATGAGTTCAGTCATTCAACTGGAGCGCTGGATCGCAAAAGAATCCAACGACGCACGCGAGGCCGGCGGAGTTTTTGGGCCGGTGCCCCGGGTCGAAACGTTTACCTAAAAAAAGAGACTATAGGGCTAGCTCCTCCAGTGATGGAGCCTTCTCCGGCGATGAAGAGGCGGCGCGGGCCTGCTCCTCCTCCGGCGGCGACGGGCCAACAACGTCCTACGCCGAGGAGGATAGGTGAGCTGCCATCGTCTTCGTCTTGCAGGATGAGAAAGGATCAAAGGAAACCCTAGATCAAATATTACTGGTCTTTTGATATCTATCTGAATTCTATACTTTCTTCCTTTATTGGTAAGAGAATCATGTATATTTTGTTAAGCTTGTGGGCTAATTTGCAGCTGAGACGTCCTTCGGCTTCGCGCTTTTCAATTTTCATGCGATGCTCATCGAACAACCTAATGCCATGGAGGTCAGTACCTTCTTCTTCCTTCTGCTTGCTTCTTACTGATCTTGTCTCCTCCCTCCAGAAAATATGGACCCACTTCACTTGCGGCGCCGAGGCGAAGAAGGTGGCTTAGTGCCCCCCATAATTATTTCCTTCTTCCGGTTGCATGCTAATCTCATTTTCTTGCATTGAGGGAGGAACGTAACAGAAACACACACAGTTCACTAGTACTTTGATTCATTGTTTCCTTTTTGCCCCTGAACATGCATAATGCTCATCATTGTCAGGTTGTTTGGCTGAGAGAGTATCGAACTTTGGAGGACAATTTCAGCGCCATTAACCAAAGTCTTACTCAGATGATCATCAAGTACCACTGCCCTGGGCAGAGGGTGGCTGTTGCAAAGCCTGGATACAAAAAAAAAATCATTGAAGAGAGATTGGTGAGTGATAGGCTAGCTAGCTCCTCGTTTGCCTGTTCTTTTCCTTTCTTTTGAGCAACTTCTATCACCATTTCTTTTGTTGTTGTGACTCCTTTCAGGAAATAACCTGCCTGTATGATCCAACTGTGATGGAGTTAATGTGGGGCATACAGATTTGCTTTGCAAGTTTTGTGCCTAGCGCGGATTGGTGTCTGACAGGTGATGACCTGATCCCGGTTTGTGAAGGGCTGCAAAATGTCTTGACTCGTTATGGCTGTAACTATGTCAACCCGGAGATGGTGAGTTAACTAGCTGCTGTCGTGAAACGTCAGTGCGGAATTGCTTTGTGCCACACGTGTGTCACTTATCATTTGTTTTTTTATGCTTTATTATTACGTATAGCACCAATAGCTAGCCTACTACTAAACATA